TAGGAGTCCTGGTAGACTACCAGTTGAACATGGTCAACAGTGCGAAGCAACAGCCAAAAAGGCCAATGCAATTTTAGGCTGCATCAATAGAAGTATAGTGTATAGTGTCTTTGATTCTATGATTCTGTGTTGAATAAGACCAGTACTCCCCACTGGTCACTTTTCTCCAGGATGAGAAGGAACTATTAGTCAGCACTGTTTGGATTTAGCCTGTCAACTACCTTTAAAGTTTAATGGCTTTAAGTTATAGGAGGGTAGATTTTGATTGACCATTTGAAGGAACTTCTTGATAGTGAGTGCAGTTCAGCAATGGGACCAATTGTCTAGAGAGGTGGTGGGGTCTTCTCCGGATGTCTTCAAAAAGAGTTTGGACAGCTACCTGCTGGACATGCTTTATTCTAGCTGTATTCCAGCATTGAGAAAGGGTTTGAGACCAGTAGTGTCACTAGAATCAGTGCCACCCAGTGTGGTAAGCTCATGGTGTCACACATCCCTATTGACCTCCTCCTATATCACACCATAGAAAATCCTTAGTAAAGTTTTTTGTACTAATATTACTTGCCAATTGTAATTCCTGTATATCACTGAATGTAATGGCAATTGTTGTGACGCAAACAACTAGCAAATTTTTTATTTATTAAAATTATATATTTACATTAAAATATCACACACATGTCTGAAATGTATTTACATGTACATTGTTTCATGTGATTGAAGTGAAAAATTGGTAAGATGTGGTGTTTTTTTTAATTCAAAAACAATGAAAAATATTTTAATTATTTTAATTATTAAAAAAACTCTGGGGCCTCTCCTTTCGCCTCTCAATGGGCCTTGCCCCACTCACACCATCTCTTCAGCATTTTAAAGGGAATGCAGGCAAATGCCACAGCCCATTTCTTCCAAAAGGTAGAAATGTTTGAGGAGCACCCTAAGGTCCACTTTAGGGTGTCATCTGGGGCAGCCCATACACCCTGCATCCCCTAGTGAACCTTGGTTGTACCTGATGGCTCAAGTCTATGATTCTATGATTCTTTAGGGTATTTAGGCTGTATTAAGGAAAGTAACAGAGCCACTATATTCTGCACTGGGAAGGCCTCATCTGTAGTACTGTGTTCAGTTCTGGGCACCTCATTTTAGGAAGGACATAGACAATGTGGAGCAGGTTCTGAAAAGTGCAATAAGGATGATGAGTAGTATGGAGAACAAAACATGTGAGGAAAGGCTGAGGGAATTGGGCAAGTTCAGCCTACTGAAGGGAAGACTGAGGGGTATCATGTTTGGACTCTTTAAATATCTAAAGGGCTGTCACAGAGAGGAAGATGGAAATGTGTTTTCTGCTGCCTCAGAGGGTAGAACTAGATCTAATGGTTTTAAGTTACAGGAGAGTAAATTTTGAACTTCTTGAACCTCTTGACAGTAAGAGCTGTTTCACAGTGAAATCAATTGCCTAGATGGGTGGTGAGGTCTCTTTCTCTGAAGGCTAGGCAGCTACCTGTTGGGGATGCTCTATTTGCAATTCCTGCACTGGACAGGGCCTATGGTCCTCTTCCACCTCTTTGATTCTATGATAAAGTTTTGGCTAGCAGCAAGGGGTATTGAGAAGGATCCTGGGGTTGAAACAGACTTCCTCAGAATTCCTCATCCCATACCAAGGAGTCTATCTAGGCCAGGGATGGTTCAATCTCTGGGGATGTGGAGCATCCCCTTTCTGCTGAATAGGTCATGGTAAAATAATCAGATGTGCTATAGTACAGGCAGAGTCCAGCCTGCCTCCAATGGTCTTTCTTTTCCACCAGAAATCAGAATCAAACTGCACCCAATGCCTGTGTTCCTCTGTTGGGCCAGGCAATAATGCTTCTGGTCCTACCATTCAGGAGCCAGGTACACTGCTGGTGGGAGCAGCCCTAGGCATCACTTGACAAACTATACTGGACAAACTTGGCAGTGGGTCTCCAGTCACTTGTTAATCTGCAAGCATTGCTGAATAAGGTTCTGAAGAAAACAACCAACAAATGGGGATGGGAACTACAGCTCACAATAGCTAAGAGGTAGTTCAGGGATATCTAACCACTCTAAATGAATGTAAATCTCCAGGGTCTGATAAACTGCATCCAAGGGCACTAAAAGAAATTCCAGATGCAATCTCAGAGCCACTGTCAAAAACAGCTGAGAATTCTTGGAAAATAGTAGAGGTCCCAACTGAGTGGAACAGGGTGGATTTTATCTTCTGCCTTAAAAAAAAAAAAAAAAAAGGCTATGACCAACCAGGAAATGTTCAAGAACAAACTACTAAACATTTAATCTCTGCACAGTTAGAAAAGAATACTATGATTATCAGGAGCCAGGATGGGTTTTTCAAAAACAAGTCTTGCCAGACTTATTTCTCTTCTTCATGGAGTTACAAGCTTAGTAGATCAGAGGAATGCTGTAGATGTAGTATATTTTGATTTCAGTAAGGCTTTTAAAGACGGTCCCCCCATGATGTTCTTCAGCAATGGATAAAATGTGTGCTGGACCAAACTATTGTTAGGTGGATTTGTAACTGCTTGATAGTCTAAATAAAAAAAAAAAGTCGCTCACCTTTGGTTCCTTCTCATCCTGGAGGTAAGTGGCCAGTGAAGTGCAACAGGGTTCAGGCCAGTGGGCTCAAATCACAAGAAAAGAGAATTCATCTAAACATTATGAAGACAATCTTTATTTGTAAGGACTGTTTGGCAGAAACAGACTACTGTGGAGGGTGTGGACTATTCTTCATTGGAGGCCTTTAAACAGGGGTTGCGTTACCTCATGGACTAAGCCCTCCTTCACCCCTAGTTGACCTTTGATATCAACTTAATATTAAAAGGGTTTGTTCCAGTCATGTAGCCACTGAGGGTACCCAATGCGAGGAAATAGCCTGCCCAAATAAGGAGATCTGATAGGCTCAGCTTGGAAGCGCTAGCGCATGTAGCCAGGATAAGTCCATTGAGGCTGGAATCTGCATGTAGAAATGTGATAGTGGGTGATGTACCAGGTACTTGCCAGAAGGTTGGGAAAAAAAGGGCACTTTCCTATGGCGAGGACAACTCTTTGGGTAAGACATTTGCATTGATTGCCCTGACATTTCCATCTATCTCTGGCCATTCTTCTTCCTGAAAAATCCACTCAAACTCCTGAAAAACTGCCCCAGGACACATTTTACTCTATAAATATGTCACTTTGGGCATCTTCAGTTCAGTCTTGGTTGAGTTCAGACAGCCACTCTGTCTGTTTCTCCCTTAACTCATTGGCACACACCTAGGTCCTAGGCTGTGTGCTGAGCCAGACTCATTCACCGTGTCCCCCGATCAGAGCTCCATGCCTGAAACAGGTAAAGTTTTACCCTCTGCTAAACCCTCTAAATTGCTATCAGCTACGACCTTTTGTATCTTAGTTCTTGTGTGTGTGTGTGAATGTCTTCTGTGAATATTCCACAGTTGTATAAATGAGTACCCACATTTAAAAGAATCCTTATTAGTTTAAGTTTTACCCAGCATTGTTTTACAGTAGGTAATTTCATAATTGTATCTATTTGTTTAGAACAAGGGTGGGGAATATTTGGTCTTTCAGCTATTTTGGCCTATAACGTTTGCCAGTACCACACAGCATGTGCAACAGTAAGACATTATTCAAGTCATAACTCAAGATACTTCAAAGTTGCTACTCCTCATTTAGGATATTTGGATCCTGCTTTAAGCTAAAACACCTCCCCCCCCAGGTGGCTTGAAATGTATATAAACAGTACAATTCTGCATGGATTTCAGTGTTTGAAGTTGCTCTATTTTAACTTTTAAAATTGTATTTTAGGATTGTGTTTAGATTTCTTTTAATAGTCTTTAGAGAGCATTTTAATGTGTTTTTAAAATGTGTTTATGCTTGTACTATTTTAATTGCTTTTATTTGTCTGTCATCTCAGGAGCCCTTGTGGGGAGGGAGGCAGTATAGAAACACCTTAAATAAATAAATAAGCAAAGGAATGGACAATGAACAAAGAAACAGTGAACAAATTAGAGGATCAGGGTGAAAAATTAATATAATAATATATATTTTTGAGAAATGTTTCTCATGATTTTATTAATGATTGTTGATGCTACTAGTAAACCATCTGGGAAGGGGCTTTAATTCAAATGTAGGATGATGATGATGATGATGATGATTTGTTGTTAATAAAAACATATTATTTAAAACAACCAAGAGTTTTGTGGCACCTTAGAGGCCAACATGAAAGCTCATGCTGTAGGGAATTCCTTTGTATTTAAGGTGCCACAGGACTCTTGATTGTTTTTACTGCAACAGATTTATATGGCTGTCTCCTTGGAATCTGTTAAACTTATTTATTTGTTCATGATCCACATTACCTTGTGTTCCATTGTCACCTGTTTTGTCTTTAAATTTAATTTATCCTGAGTTGGTTTTATTAGTAATGAGCTAAAATTTCACATTGTCTCATGTCCTAGTATCATTTCTCCAAAATTGCTCAGAAGTGAAGGGAGTTGGGTGGGTCCTGATTTCATTGGGAAAAGTATTTGGAAACCCATTTTGAGTAGAAGTGGGAAATGACAAAAGAGGCAGATAGGCCTGTCAATTTACAATGTGGTTTTTCACTCTTTACTACTGTCATGTGAATAAACATTCCTTCCCCCCCCCCCCCTTTTCTCTCTCTCTCTCTCCTCCCAGCCTGGATAACCATTGTGGGACTTCTCTACCATACCATGCATCAATTCTTTAGTAGCATCAGTCCTATGGATACAAAGTAAGTTTCTTTTATAAATAGGACAACTTGGTCTGGCTTATTAGGAATATCTTTGAAAGAGGGTTGTTGTTGTTGTGTGCCTTCAAGTAATTTCCAATTTATTCCAACCCTAAGACGAACCCATCACAGGGTTTTCTTGGCAAGATTTGTTCTGAGGGGCTTTGCTGTTGCTGTTGCCTTTGCTTTCCTCTGGGTTGCGAGTGTGTGACTTGCCCAAGGTGGGTTTCCATGGCTGAGCAGAGATTTGAACCCTGGTCTCCAGAGTCCTAACCTAGCAGTCAAACCACTACACCATTTTGACTCTCATTTGCAGCAAATGCAGCTCCTTTAAGACCACTGTTATGTGTTGTGTATGATGTTACTGTTATGTTTACACTAGCTGTAGCTTCCAAGCCATCTTCAGTGTTACCCCCATGTATTGTGTGTGTGTGTATCTTCATGTTAGCTGTCAACTAATTGGTTAGTTACCAGTGCATGGACTATTGTGTCTGTGTTATTGCTGTTCAGGAAAGGCCATAGCTGGCAGACCAATCAAAGATGGCCCTAAGCATTCATGAAGTTCACCTGGGCTCCCAGTGACAAAGATGGATCTAAGAGTACTTCCAATCTATATACCTGCTCCCTCAGGTTGAGTTCAACCCACCCATCCAGGAAAAGTCACATATCCCATTCCCATACCTGGGAACGATTAGTCCACAGAGTTTCCATTTGTTCAGAGGGAGTTTACCTTTTCCATCCTCTGAGGTTGAGAGACAGTGTGACCTGCCCAAGGTCACCCAATGGGCTTCCATGGCCAAGCAGGGATTAGAACCCTGGTCTCCAGAGTCCTCTTCCAACACTCAAAGCATTACACCATGAAGAGGGACCTGCAACAAAATCAGAGCTTGGAAAAAGTTACTTCAGGGATTATAAAACAGATTCTGGAAACTGTACTCCAAAAAAGGAACTTTTTTTAGTGCTAAATGAAATGCTGTGTGTTCTTGCATGGCATGAGGAGTGCCCAAGAGCCCCTGAATGTATGAATTAAGCTGTCAGTGGGCTAATTCATGCCTTTAAAGTCCCCTGTTTTTCGGTTGGGAAAGGCGCCGGGTCGGACAGTAGTTCGAGTTGGAGCTCCTCCATCTCTCCAACAATGTGGGGAAAAAAAGAACTACTGAGGAGAAATCCTTGGCAACTTCTTAGTTTAGGATAAAAAAAATTCTCTCTGGGTACAGAGAGAACAGAAGTGCCCCAAGGAAGTCAGATTCCTGCCTGCAATCCGGATAAAATTCTAAGCAGGAGGCAAGTTGTGAGTTTGCCTATATCTCTTCAAATAAGAAACAGTAACATCATACACACATTGTCAAACATAAAACCGTGGACAAAAAGAAATGAAGGATTAAAGAAGGTAATAAGATTCTTTTCTAAATAAAATCAAGGACAAATACAAACAACACAGTGAACAAATACAGCTAAGCTAAGTATGTAAACTCCTCTCTGGATGTGCTCCATTCTGTCAGTGGCCTTCTTAAACACTCTCTTGGTGATCCTTTCTCATTATTATTCATTCATTTGCTGGAAACCATGCCCAATGAGGAACGACTTAGGGAACTGAATATGTTTAGTCTGGAGAAGAGATGGCTAAGAGGTGATATGATAGCTCTGTTTAAGTATTTGAAGGGGTGTCATATTGAGGAGAGAACAGACTTGTTTTCTGCTGCTCCAGAGAACAGGACCTGGACCAAGCTATAGGAAAAGAGATTCCACCTCAACATTAGGAGGCACTTCCTGACAGTAAGGGCTGTCTGACAGTGGAACACTCTCCCTCGGGAGTGGTGGAGTCTTCTCCTTTGGGTTTTTTTAAACAGAGGCTGGGTGGCCATCTGTTGGGGATGCTTTGATTGTGATTTCTTGCATGGCAGGGGGTTGGACTGCATGGCCTTTGGGGTCTCTTCCAACTCTATGATTCTATGAGATATGGAAAACTCAAGAGTCTCCAAGTTCTATATACAGAACTTTACTTCAGACTATTTATGGCACTATATACAAACCAAGAACTATCCAACCACCCACCCACTAACAACAACAACCCACACAGAACCTAGGTCACACACAGGTGTCTACAACAGTCCTCTCATGCCAGTCACTTATGTCATGTCTGCTGTGTCATCCTGGGCACATCCTATATGATGTGATTGATGATGCTCCATGTCAATCACCTTGCTGCAACCTTTCACTTGTGTTGCATCATCCAGCATTTTTATTCAGTACAGTGAATTTCCATATTTTACATACACTGACAATACAGTTTTCACACATCTTGGAGTGGTTATGGTTTGGAGTATAATTCATAAACTCATAGAACTGGAAGGGACCTGAAGCATCATCTAGTCAACCCTTGCTATGCTGGAACACACAACCAAAGCACTCTTGAAGGCTCTCCATCCAACCTCTGTTTAATGACCTCTAAAGAAGGGGACTCCACCACATTGTCAAACAGCTGTTATAGTAAATAAGTTCTCTCTAATGTTTAGGAGGAATCTCTTCTTATAATTTGAATCTATTTATTCATGTTCTAGTCTCCAGAGCATCAAAAAACAACAAAAAACAAACAAACAAACTTGCTCCACATGACATCTCTTCAGATATTTGATGACTATCCTGTCACCTCTCAATATTCTCTTCTCCAAGCTAAACAGTTTAACCAACCTGCTGCCATACATGGCTAGTAAAGGGGAATGCCAGAGAATGCTACCTTTGCTAGCTGCTCATCTACATAAATAAGGTGAGCATCCAAGCAAACAACTTGCATCTGGATCTCCCAAAGAGGAGCAATATAGATTCAGAGTTTAAGCTCGGTAACCTGCCATCTTTCACCCAGTCCTCTTTCTCTTTCTTGCTACATTCCAGACAAGGTATCTCTGGTGCCCTTCTGTGGTGGATGTGGCATTTCAAAGATTGCAAAGAGGCTGCCAGGCAGTAAAACAATTTATATTCTTTTGCCTATAATTTGGTGACAAGTAATGGGAAAACATAAATGTTTGACCCATTCACAACATGCTAACCAACCAGATTCATAACATTATAGTGCCAGAGAGCAGTTGGTAGACCCTATGACTTAACAAGAAATATTAAGTAAAGTCTGTACTTGCAGTTTGTGCCATTCTTCCATGAGTGATGTTTCAACAGCAAAGATCTGGCCCTATTTTTAAAAAGATGTGAAAGCAACACTATTATTGCTTATCAAAATTCCCTGAAGCTAGGAAAATATCTTTGCTGGCAGGCTTGGCTTCCCTTGGTATTCTGGCTTGAACTATACTATCTCTGGAAAGCAAACACTTTCTGGACAAGATGGGCCTCTTTCATAACAGGACTACAAATAACATGCCAAAATAATAATTTGAAAAATATCTTTTGCTGAGTGAGCCTGAGCTGTTGTAACCTCATTTTTGCAGAGATTTATCTCCAAGCATTTAAGGTGTGTATGCCCATCATGTAATGTAATTGTTTTCAACAACAAAAAGTCTTTATGCAAAGAAATGCAATAAAAGAGTGAAAAAGCTATTATTTATTGCCTTTTTGTCCTGTCCTTTTTTTTGTTGAACTGTGCAAGACAGCATGCATCTATTCTCCTAACAACAGCACACAGTTGTATTCTTGCAACATTTTTTAAAGGTAGGTTAGGCTCAGGTCCACCCAGTAGGATTAGTAGCTCAGCAGTGATTTAAACTTGGATCTTTCCTAGGGCTTGTTCAGTGCTTTAACCCAGGGATGGGTAAATATGGGGTGCTGCTTGCATGCCAGTATGGCCCATAGCTCTCCAAGTCCCCTGCCCCTCCCCCTATGATTTTTGGATGACAAGTAGCTTAGTGTTCTCTAGGGGATGTGATGTGGTATTTTACCCCTTGCCTGTTATAGGCCCAGCCAGGCCACAAGGGCCAAAAGGAGAAGCTCAGTGAGGCAGGAAGGGAGGACAAAGTTCACCTCAGTCCCTCCATCACTGCAGTCACAATAACAGCACTGGAAAAGGCTCAAGAGGGCTCAGTGAAAAGCCAGGAAACAGCAGAGAAACTAAAAGAAAGAGGAGCATGAGGGGGGATGGGGAAACAGAAGTAGGAAGGAGGGGATGGGTAAGAAACAACCAATCAAACAACAACAATGATAAAATGAAGGAAACATTGAGAGATAAACAGCTACTGGGCAGCAGCAGTAGTGGTGGGTGACACTGGAGTTGAGAGAACAACAATGACACCATAGCTAACATTTGTTAGTAGTGTGCACAGGAAGGTAGTCCTTTCTGTGAAACTCCTTCACCTAGAAAACCATATGATGAGAGATCTCAAGTGATACACAGGCAAGATCAGAACACTAATAGAGATAGGAGAAAATAACGGAAATGACACTTGCAAGAATAGACAAGGCCATAGAAAGATGGTGAGACAAGTAGTAGATGCACTCAGAAAAACAAATGCTATCTGAAGTAGTGCCACACATAAAATAGTATTGTGAGAAGCACAAGCCAAGAAACTAGATATAGTAAAAATGGAAATACTGGGGGTGAGTGACTCCAAATGGACAGGAATGAGCCACTTTGATTCAGACAACTACACAGTGTTCTACTCTGGGAATGAAAAGGCACAAATAAATGGGGTTGCTTTCATACTAAGAAAAGATTTGGCAAAAGCAGTCAGAAGATACAATGAAAAATCAGATTGAATCATCTCAATTAGGCTCCATGGGAAACCTATGAATATCACAATAATTCAAGTATATGCACCAACTACAGAAGCAGAACAAGAAGAAATGGAAAGATTCTATGAAGGACTACAGGAAGAAATTGACAACAGATCAGCACAGGATACTAAGCTGATGATAGGTGACTGGAATGCCAAAGTTGGAAGCAAAGAGAAATCAAAAACAGTAGACAGATTTGGATTAGGTAAAAGAAATGAAGCGGGTAAGCATCTGATAGATTTTTGTGAAGCCAACAACCTATTCATTGCAAACAGATTTTTCATACAATGAGAAAGGCTTTACACATGGACATCACTAGATGGCCAACACAAAAAATCAAATAAATTATATAATTGGAAGTAAAAGATGGTGAAGCTCCATCTTGGTGGTCAAGACTAAACTAGGCACCAACTGTGGCATAGATCACAAATTATTCATATAAAAAATAAGAGTAAAACTCAAGAAGTATGATAGCCCTGTTTAAATAGTTGAAAGGATGTCATATTGAGGAGGAAGGTAGCTTGTTTTCTGCTGCTCCAGAGAACAGGACCTGGAACAATGGAACAGGAAAAAAGATTCCACCTCAGC